TTTACATATTTTCAATATAAAAACACAATTACCAATACACCTAACCACTTTTGAACCAATAGAAAAATAGAATATCATATAAACCTAATAAATTCTCTCTCAAAACTCTAAAACGACACTTATTTTTAAACGAAATTTTTCCTCTAGAATGACATATAATTTGAAACAGAGGGAGTATTAAGATTTCATTATTAAAAATTAAATATTTAGGATTTAGAATGTGATTATAAATGAATTGTCATAAGTGTTATAGTTTTCAATATAATAAATTCTACCCAGATTCTATTATGGCTGTATCCTAATAATTTATATATGTATCATTTTATTTTAATCTTGTCTATCTGGGATTATATATATTGTTAGAAAAAATTAATATATAGCTATGTTGTAACATCTTCAAATTCAAGCGGTTTGGGGTTTAAGGATTTAGAACTTAGTGTTTTAGGGTTTATGAACTTAATTAGGTTAAACTTAAGATTAAGATTAAAATAATAAAATATTTAAGTTTTAAAGGTTGTGTTTAAAGTTTAGGTTTTAGAATTTAAACCCTACATCTTAAAATCTACACCTTAATCTTATACCCTAAATCCCAAACTTAAACCATACATACAAATCATATATCATGTAATCTTATATCTTAAAACAAACCATATCACATACTTCAATTTTTTTTCAGCACATACTTCAAATTCCATATCACACACATTAACATTTGAATAAAATTGAGTTTTAACAATGAAACCAAAATATAAAATCANACCTTAATCTTATACCCTAAATCCCAAACTTAAACCATACATACAAATCATATATCATGTAATCTTATATCTTAAAACAAACCATATCACATACTTCAATTTTTTTTCAGCACATACTTCAAATTCCATATCACACACATTAACATTTGAATAAAATTGAGTTTTAACAATGAAACCAAAATATAAAATCATAATTTTTATTATCTAACATAGAAAGTGCTATATAAGATTTACTAATGATAAAACAACACAAAATAGGAAGGAAAAAAATTGTAATGGACCACTAATATCAATATACCCGTATCACAATATTTACCACTGCATTAGATTTAATCCAACGGACCAAATCTAATTATAATGTTTGTCTTTCTCTCTTCTCTCTGTCGTCGACAGATCTGACTTTTTGTCTTTCTTTTCCTTTACTTTTCTCCTCGAAAATCTTCTCTACTCTTGCTTTTCGATCTGTCTATCTTCTTCATCCTTACACAAAAATCATAAACAAAATCTATCACAACCACCATCACCATAACCTCGGACGCCGCCATCTATATCTCCGTCAATGAAGCTGTCTCAACCACCATCACCATAACCTCAGGCGCTGCCACCATCATCTTCATCTCCACCTCCTCGTTCTATACCTCCGCCGACGAACTCGGTCTCAACCACTCTTTTTTATCTATCCTCTTATCAAAGCTTCTTCTTTTCCAGATGCATATTCATGGTCTTTGTTAACACCAACCGTATCTCAGGTTTGTTATATGTTCCTTGTTTTTCTTTGAGATTTTTGAATGATTAGTGTTGTTTGACAAGATTGTAATTTGATTTAATGGGGATTTGACTACAAGGACGGGGAAGAGGAAGTGGGATTGACAATGGGGCTGGTGGTTGTTTTTGTTAGGTATGTCACAAAACCGATAGGCATGTCTGATGCAATCCATATTCAAAAGCCATTGTTCTCTCTGTGTGTTTTGAATTTGATTTTTGATTTGTTTGTTCTTGTTACAGGAAGAAACCGAATATGAAGAAGTTGTGATGGTGGAGATGGAAACGAGCAAGAAGAAGAAAAAGAGAAAGAGGGAGTAGGAGAGAAGACAGAGATGTATGGAAGACTGCGAAGATGGAGTAGGAAGGTGACGAGAGAAAAGAGAACAGCAGTGGCGTAGATTAGGTTTAGTTTTGGTTGGTTTATTAGGTTTAGTTTAGATAGGGTTAGTTTAATAAACCGGGTTTGTGTAAACCAATGTTAATAAATAAACTGATATTAATCTAGGTTGCATGGAAACTCCGTTCAAGGTCCGTTTCCTGTTTCGGAAACGTTTCGGAATCGGAATCTCTTGGAAACTCGAGGAAACTCTTTGGAAACACGTTTCTTGAAAATTTCATTTTGGAAACACGATGGAAACTTGTGTTTCTGATTTGGAAACTCGTGTTTCTAATTTGGAAACTCGCGATTCTAATTAGAAACACAAAAATAACTATTTGACATTTGATGTTAATGATTATATGTTTATTATTTTATATTTTAATATTATCTTTTGATATTTGTTATCTTTTTAGTATAATGATTTGATTTGGAATGAAGTCACTCCATACTTTTATCGAATGATAACATGTGTTACTTTTCTAGTTATTGATTATAATTTTAATAAAATGTACAAAAAAAATACTTATGTTACTTAATATTTTCTCTTAGATAAATCAAACAAAAAAAGCTTACATGTTGATTAATCATACATATATATATATATATTATAGACGTTTCTAAAACGTTTCCATTTCTATTTTTTTTTGAAAATTATGTTTCCACGTTTCGAAACGTTTCGTTTCCACGTATCCGTTTCCGATTCCATGCAACCTAGATATTAATTGTTAACCAATTATTTGTATACAGATTTCAATTAATAAATAAAAGTTAATTTTAACATGAATTAATTTTTGATTTAATTTTGAATTATGTTTTGGTTAATTATATTACGTGTAGTGTTTAGTTTAAAAATGAGTTTTAATAACATTTGTATCGCGTTATTATAAATATTAATAATTGCATACAAAAAAACGTTATCGTTTTTTATTTAAATATAGCATACTAATGTTTCGCTATCGAAAGTGCCAGACCTATTATGACGGGCGATCTCAGAGCGTTTTAAGGAGCGCTATGCTATCAATCTCATAGCATTTAACGGTCGCTATTAATAACCACATTTCTTGTAGTGTACAAAATATCTTGTAACAAACTCTTAAGTTTGAATTATTGAATGAAACTGCCAGTTCAGCTGAGATTCTCTTTTCCTTCTTCACTTCTTTTCCTCTGCTTCTTGGAAGTGTAAACCCTAATGGCTTATCAGGATGTTGTAGCATTATGATCGTATTTTATCATATACATTTCTAGTAAGCTAATGATAATATAGAGAAAATTGCTTCGTGAAACTGTATATATAAAAGTTGTCGCTCATGCCTCTGTTGATACATTCCAGAGAAGTGACAAAAAAACATTGTCAAGCAGCTAGTAATGATAGGCTATACATCATGTTTCCAAAGAGGACAAAGCAAACCAGGAATAACACGAGAATATTATATTAGACAGAGAATGCAAATGCAGAAGAAGAGTTCATCTTCAGATGTTACCTCAACAGTATTTTGAAAGAAAGTTAAACTCCTTGATCAGCCTTAATGATTAAAGGATTGCCAAGACCCACACATCATAGCAGTTTGATTATGCAAGATTTAGAATGTATAGAGATGAAACAAGTCATATGATTGTTTTTAAATTACCCATTGGCCAACAATCTTTAGCTTGGGCAAGGAGATCATCAACGATTATGCCCGCCTAAATCTCGAATAATCCGATTAGTGGTTTGTTCTCTACAAATCGCCTAGTTACTGTTTAGCGATTCTTTTTTTAACATTGTTCTATACTATGTCTCTACTTGTACATATCGATGTACCGTTCTCATTTTGCTGTTTTTTCGAGATATATAGAATATTTATGGTTAAACCATTGAACCAGAAATATTATTTCATCACCTTAGTTATCCGAGACAGGCGATTAATCGAAGAGAAGTTGAACATAAAATACAAGTCATTTTTTTTTCTCTTAGAATATATAATCCACTGTCCACAGCTGATACTAATAATATTTTTATAGATATTGTTCCATCACTATCAGCTCTACGAATATGCCACCTCTACCAACATGCCACCTTTTCTTCACACCTAAACAACGTGCGCACAGCGCACATCCTATCACAATGTTTGGAAACTGTTTAAATATGAGTTCTAGTCAATTGAAAACGTGTGTTCAAAAAAAAAAGTCAATTGAAAACGTGACACAAACTAGTCCATAAACTACCATTTATTTACGTGTAATGTTTGTAAACTTTATAAAAGTAGACATCGGAAACACACAAGGAATTTACTTAGACTATACTTGTTCCATACCATATTACATCTACAAGACAACCAACACAAAATCATCTAAATATTTCGCAAGGTTATCCTCATACTTCAAGTAATTAAGACAATATTTAATTTATGGGAAAATAAATTTCTCTGAATATAATTCTTAATTAACTAGCCAATGTGAAAACATCATAACTTACTGGTTAAGGTTTAAACATTTCTACATCCACGTCTAGGTTTTGAAATCCAAACAACACAATTTTTTTGTAGATTACAAGATGCAAGTTTATCGGAGATTCCAGAATATTGTAGGTAGAACCATTCGTTATGGTCATTTACTGTGGAATGGGTATGTCTATCGAGGATATCGTCCACACAAAACCGCTTATCGATCTAAATGATCTAAAACGAGTTTCATCGTGGAATCATCCGTGGAGTTGTTCATTAGATCACATATATTACATGTAGTTAATCGTAGTAGAGTTAAGAATTATATGATAATGTAATTTTTATCTAGGGTAAAAAGAAAATTTAACTGGCCAACTATATCAGACCGTAGACTCATTCTTTTCTAGCTAGTTAACAATATAAAATTTCCAAGTAATTGCTTCCGAAACTAAAGAACGTTTAACAAGTTTTGCTTTCCACCTACTATATAACTTGGCTACAATCCTCAATTTTAAGAACCACCAAAATAGTATAACTGTAAACGTCAAAAAACAAAAAAACAAAAACAAAAAATGAAAATTTATATCCCATCTCGAAACCTAATCTTGGCCACAACCATTTTCTTAGTTAATATTGTTTCCCTAAGAGCCTAAGACAGCCAGCAAGACTATTTGGATGCTCACAAAAGCACGAGCCGCGGTTGGGGTGGGTCCTTTGACGTGGGACCTAAAGGTGGCTCTTTATGCCTCTACCCACACGAACTGGCTTATACTTGTGTGCGCTTTTAAATACTTGGAGATGCGCGCTGACAATTTTTATGGGATCTATCAGTGTATGAAGGATGAAGAAGAGATGATGAAAGTGTAACTGACTTTTCTTATATAGTGACTGTTACACGGTTTACACATGCGTAACCGATACATAACCAAAATACAAAGTAAACCAAAGTAAACCGACATCTGATATACCAATAGGATCTATGGCCAGAACTTAGCTTGGAGTAGTGGCAACATGTCAGTCGCTGAAGCGGTTGAAATGTGGGTGAATAAGAAATCTAACTACAATTATAGTTCCAAAACATGTGCTTCGGGAAAAAAGTCAGGTTGTGTGGAAATACTCAGTGAAGTTGGGATGTGCGACAGCGAGATGCATAAATGGTGGTGGAACCTTTATTTTTTGCAGCTATGATCCTGAAGGTAACTCATTTGGCATACGGCCTTACTAAAAGGAACCCCCGCCCCCTATTACGGAAGTATATCTTAAGAGGTAATGATTGTATTTCCTAGTTGTATATTGATTGTGATAATCTCTTCCATTGTGATAAGGATGAAGATATCTTCGTTTGTTAAGGCTTAAGATATGTTTAGCCGACTTACATATGTTGTATATATACAATTTGACATGAACGTAAATAAACAAGTCAGTTGACATTCAATTCTCCAACCCCCCCCCCCTCCCCCATCTGAATAAGTGTTTCAAAGTATATGTCATCCCTTACTTATTAATCCAGAAGCATTTTCAATAACTAACCTTAATTTTGTAAATTAATAACAATTATGCCATTATTGCTGACGTGGCGAGCTCATATTCATTCTCAGCCTATTAAGTTAATAACCCTTTAATTACTAGGATATTTACATCTTATGCCATTGGTAACTATGCCTTTTTTGATTAATGAATTTGAGATTTACCCGTTTACAGAATATGACAATATTTATACCTTCATCGGAGACGGCATATGAGATGACGACGTCGAGTCTTTATCACCGTCAGAAAAATTTACCAACTCAGTAAACAAATTCTCTTTCAAACTTCCGCCATCGTCCGCAGATCTAGACTTTTACATCCTTCGAACCAGACGACTCTCTGCAGCTTTTTCAGAACAGATTTTAAGAAATCAACTATAAATATTGCACATCAAGCTTCAAAGGATCCGAACCAAACGTGGACCTTACCAATCTTCTTTTTAATTCGTCTATATACATGAAGTGATGGCCCAAATCTGATTTTCAGTTTATCTCTCTTAAATTTCTGGTATATGAAATATAGTGAGATGAAGAGCTGTTTTCTTAAACTTTTACTGAATATTATGTACTTTATTTTTATTTTATAAGAGAAACTGTATATTCTATTTCTATATTATTTTATGTGCCATCTTAGATCAAATCTCTATATCAGGTTTATATGTTGAACACGTCAACATTTCTTCAAACACTTATAACTGAAAACGATGTTAATATAATAGTTATACTTGAGACTGCATATATCACAAAAATATAATCATATTTGACAATGCATTCAGAACCTAAATTTACAAGAAAGTTCAGAATACATTGCTTTGCTTATGTGTAAACAAACGGGATGAAAACAGAATTGGTTAGATGTTCAATATTGGTTTCAAATTTTCTAAGTATCTCTATAATATTATTTGAGAAGTCACTTTCTTAGGTGTCGCGCTCACGTTAACTCTCACGCTGGTTGATTACTATGATACCCCTAATGAATTAAAAATATATTTAAATATTATTATTTCCTTTTTAAAATCTTCCAAATAACAATTAAAATAAAAAAGAAATATTTATAAAATTTACAAAACTATTTAAAACGAAAAATAAGTATATATATAATATGGTTTCATAAAAAAAGAAAGTTTACAAAATAGTAATATTTAACTTAAATATATTTTTAAATAACATAAATTATACTTTTAAGTAATAAAATACTTTATATCTATATCCTCCTAGATTAAAAAATATTTGTATATAATGTGTTTCACTAAAAAAGTTCATACTAATAATCTTGATATTAGAAAACAAATATTTTTTCTTTAAATAAATAATTTAAACAATAAAATATATATTTTCAAATTAATTAGTTTTTTGATATATGTATCTATTTTATTAGATGATTACATAAAATAATTAAGTAACATAAACTGATATATGTTTAATTGACAAAACAAATTATAATTAGTATTATTGAAATATTTTTTTAGTATATTTATTTGATTATAATATCTTACAGTTACTGGAAAAATATAAATTATATTTTACTTATATAATATAATTTCTCAAAAACAATCACATTTTTACTGCATATTTTAATAGATGTTAAAAACAAAACTAAAAATAAATTTAATAATAAACATCTTTTGATCAAATAACGACAATTCTTTTAATATATCATAACACTATAATTTAACAAGGTAGATATATTATAATTAATAGTTAAAATTATCTGTTTTCTTATTAACTCTTTTGATGTTTAATTTTCTGTTTTTATGTTTGTGGAATTTAATATAACCATAATCTAATACTTAAAGCAAATCAAAATTCCTTATTTCTCAAATTATTAAAAAAAAATTCAGTTTATCATCCAATCAATCTGTGGCATAAATTATTTAGAATTTATATAATATTTTAATTATTGTAAATATTGATATGTGTTCATAAGCTTTCAAAAATTTATTATTACTTATGTATTTTAGAATCAAACACTTTAGTTTTTATTTTTTTCGTTCTAAGCACAAAAAATCTTAAATACATAATCTTACTAAGATATACTTATATTTCGTAGATGACAACCAACATAAATGTAAATAAAATAATTAATCAAAAATTTAAGATATTTAGATGAAAAAAGATTATAGTTGAATTCATAGAAATAGAAAAATTTCAATTTATATATATATATATATATATATATATATCTAAATGATAAAACTGACTAAATATAATATATATAAAATTATAATAACTAAAACAATACAATATTCTTAATACAAATTATACATACAAACTATAAATTAATATAAAATTTAAAGTAAATATCAATTAAATATTATAATATATTTATTTCTTAAATATTTAAGTCCGTGTATGAGCACGGGAAAATCACCTAGTTGTAGAGTAAACAGCTACAAATATAGTTACCAAAACTAACCAAGCAATACCTCTTAAAAATAAGTAATATTATTCACGAACGGTGTGTATTGTACATTTTCTATATAATGTCTAATTGAAACAACAGCTAAAATATAGACTGAATTTTTATTTTTATACATCCTCATCCCGCGCAAGGCGCGGATCTTTAACTAGTATACATGTATATATTGTTTCTACTTTGTACGTTTATTGAAATCTTCTGTTCGTCAGCTAATAATTGATTGGTTTGGTCGGTTCTCATTTGTACCATATCTATAGGTGGATTATTTTTCTAATGGAATAAGAAAAATGCAATGCTATACGACATGCACTTGCTTTGTTTGCTATACAAAATCTCCTTTTTCTCAACTGTGAAAATACGCCGATTTAAAACCTTTAGCTTGTTGTAAACTAATAAGAGAATAGAGGAATTGGTGTGTATATTATTCATAACATATGATCTCTTATATAAAGAATTACATAGGAGATAAATGAAAAATACAAAGCCAATACAAATATGGAAAAAGACTAATTCTTATCCGTCATATAGATTACACGGATTGGACCTACATAATTGGTTCATAACACTCCCGCTTGGATGTCATAACCATATAAAACTTGTACTACGCTTTGGATGTTGCCTCATTGTGGAAACCGAAATTATCACCGTTGATTTTCGTAAATTAAGGAACTTAGAGAAAACCCTAATTTCCCAGAGGTCCCGGATATCTGCTAGACCACACGCCAAGCAATCAGAAAACGAGAATAAACAAAAACAATAAAAATTGAGATAAAGAGCAAAAAGATTTCTTATTCCAAATCTGCGTAAGAGCGGTACAACGAGGCAAAAGCCTTAGCTACAAGAGTTGACGACGAGTTTCATAGTTCTAGTAACCTAAGACTAAAACCCTAGTTGAGACGCAGCTCTATAACAAAAATGGAAAGTTGCCTAAATGCTAAGTTTTTCTGTGTGATGAGAGCTCTGAAAATTGGGTCCCTTCTTCTTATCCTCGACCTTGTGCTTATATACTCCTCTCCTTGACAGTTTAACCTTTTATTTTCCGCCTTGATTCTTGTCTTTCAGAAATCTTCTGTTTTTCTCGATTCTCCATTTTTATATTGGAAAACTTTTATTTCTCTTCGATCTTGACATTTATTTCCTTTCTGCACATAAATGGATAAAACATCATTGTATCTTTCGGCTGGATTTCGTCTAAAGTTTCATGTAGGCCTTTATCGCGTTTTAGGACCTTCCGGGCCGTTTTTCGTTTTAGCCGTTTTACAACTTTAGACGAGATCGTTCCACGATACGATGCTGTTTTAATAAAACACCTCGAGTTAATCGTACAGTTTGGCAATCTCTGGTGCTTCGTGTAACCGTTTACGTTTTATACGATTTACTCGAGTTTTTACGAGAAAACAAGCTTTTTATGGTTTTTATCGTAAAACTCAAATGATAAGACGGATTGAGACGAAACAAAAGATGTTCCGATCATGGGTCAGAGTATTATTGAGTCGATGGACTTTGACGGTTTGGTTCAGCTCGACTAGACGATGAACTTGTTTGGGACGACCAGCTCGCCAACAGGCGAGCTGGTTAAACATTGCCAGCTCGCCTGTTGGCGAGCTGGTTAAACATGGCCAGCTCGCCTGTTGGCGAGCTGGTTAAACATGGCCAGCTCGCCTGTTGGCGAGCTGGTTAAACATGGCCAGCTCGCCTGTTGGCGAGCTGGTCAGTTGTTCGGTTTCGATCGTTTCTCGTTTTCTAGACCCGAGATCCTCTCAGAGAATATAAGGAGAAGTAATAATAGACATTGATTTCGAGGTTACCGTTTTTGACCTCAACAACAGCTTTGCCGTTTCAGGGGGTTTGGATGTTACGGCCGTTTTTTGCTAATCTCGCGTTTTGAATTACGGATTACGATCATAATAAACTGTAAACAA